GCCCCCACAGTCTGGGTCCTCATTTCACCCACCTCGGAAGGATGGAAGGCTGAGTCAACCCTGAGCCAGTGAGATTAGAACTGCTGAGCTGCAGATGACAGTCAGCTGAAGTGGCCTGCAGTACTGCACCCTAACCACTGTGCCACCTCGGCTCAACGTTCATAGCTAATCAGCCCTCTCCCCTTTGACCATTGCAGCAGTGAGCTGGTGCTAGCTAGTCCTGCTCTCAGGCCTTTCTCATAGTAAACATGCAAACTTTAGATACTGCAGTTCTCTGCATCAAGAGCCAAACATTAAAATTCATTATTCTAATGAATTTTAATCAATCCTAAGAGATACATTGTGCTATTTCATATCTAAATCAATACATGAATGCTTTTAACAGCATCTATCAGACTTTAGCTAATCTCCAAAAAGCTAATCAAAGTTAGACTAGATGAGTCATTGGATGGGATGCTACCAAGAAATTTAAACAAAATTGAGGAGACAATGGCAACCCACTTACATCTTGTTGCCAAGAAAGCTACATTAATATATCTATGAAGCCACCAGAAGTTGAGTTCAAGTTGGAGAGTTTATTTGCTAAGAGTATCATTAACCATCAATAGGTTGATGAATTCTACACATTTGCACCGATAAGGAATTACAGCATATTTTTGATTCTGTTTGCAACCCACTCTAGGATTCCTTTTAGAAAATGTTAAGATCCATGTATATTACACCTAAATTAGGGATGAGTAAACCTTAACAGGAAGGAGTGCGGACAGAGTAAAGTTCGGGTTAGGATGTCTCCGTTACCCCTCATGTATGTACTTATCATTCGGAGATGGTTGCATGGCTGTTGCATTAGCACTTCTATAAATGTTAATGTCATTTGAAGGTGCCTTGCCTTCCACCTGCCACCCAAGAGGAAGTTGAATCAATTAAATCAGCATGCAGGACTTGCATATCCACACAAAGGATAGTTCAGATTTGGGAGGTATTGTTCTGACCTAGGCTTCCCAAAAGCATGAAGCAAACTCCTTGTCCTGACAAAAATCCCTTTAATTAATTTTCTGTGAATTCTGCTCATTCACATCCAGAAAGTCTTTCAAGGGAGGATTTACAGTCACAGACCTTATCTGGCTTGGACAGATGAGATGCCGACATCTGCAAAGCTTGGCAAGGAGTCTCAGAAAGTCACAAACCAATTAAGCGAACGAATTGTCTCCTGCAAACTCCACTCCCCTTTTGCTCTTTTATTTCCTCTGGGAGGGGCCATTCATCATCCACCTGTCATCTTACTCCCAAGTTGCCCTCTGTTCTTTAGCTGTTCCCTTTGCCTGGCAACTCTGTGCATACATGCACTGGGAACAGGCTCCAGCTATTCATCTGCCTCACTGATGTCTGACTCTGAAGGCAGCTGATAACTGGCATACGGCTCTGGTCCCCTCTCTGCCTCCGACACAGAACCTCATCAGAGCCTTCCCCAGAATCCAGGACTGGCCCATGCCATGTTCCTCCCCAACCTCCTCACTGTCTGAATCTGCTGCCAACCCCGCTGGCCGCTGGCAGGCCACAACAGGTATACACATCACCCTGTTTGCGATCATCTGTAATGTATGCTTATCCATCAACCCCTTCTCAGCATCGGTACGTGTTGATGCCTACATGTAGTTGCAGACAAGTCTAATTCAAGCATTAAGAGGAATGGGGGAGTTAAATGTCTTTTGAATTCCTATGTCTTCCCCACCCAAAATTGGAAACAAGAAACTAGGCTTCCAGGGTTCACCAATCATGATCAGAACAGGCTTTAAGGGGCATATGTGGCCCTTGGGATGTAGATTGTCCCTCCTGTTCTACACAATTACAAGTATGTAGAACTGCAGATCCATATATGCAGACACTTGAGAAAAACCAATGTGAATCCATTGGGACTAATTCCTTACACAGGTATTGGTGTTATTCTTGATAGAACTAAATCCAGTCTTTTTTTTTCACTGCAAGTTTACAATTCCATTTACGTAAGAGCAAATTACATATGTATTTGATGGACTTCATGAATGATTGCCTTACTTTAAAATTCAGGCATCTGTAGATTTTAAGCAGAGCTAGCAGGAGGCATTTGAGAAGTAACAATATAGGACTGCTTCCTGGTGCAGAAACATACGGATTTTGACACTTTATATCTGCTTTATTTAACAAGCTTCCTGCACAACTTTCACTTCAAAGAAATCAGAATACATTTTCTTTCTTTGCTGAATTTAAAATCTTTATGACATGTATTTCAAAATGATTTTTGTTCTCCACATAGCTCTCCCTTCCCTTGTCTACTTTGAATTCACACCTAATGTCACTGACAACTCACCATGCCAGAAAAAGTAAGATTTGACACTGACTTACTGAATATAAAATACTCAACAAACTTTGTTACATGATACTAATAGGAACTGTCGCAATTATGAAAAGCTGCTAATATTCACTAAATTAATTTTTCCACTCATTAAAGAGACTCGAAGTACAATCCTATTAACTCCGCTTTTCCCAACCTGGATGCCCTTCAAATGATCTCCAACTCTCGGAAAGGGAGGGAAGCACAATTAATAAAAGCATAATTAAAAGCAAATTAAAATAACATAAAATCATGATCAATTACACTGAAACACTACGACTTGATGTTTTTTATGAAAATGTAAAAGATGCAGGCCAGAGAATTTCCCAAAGTTTAGGACCAACATTGGACTCAAAATTGTTGCAACATTTGTGGCTGAGGCTAACGAATAAGGGCCTAATCACACGTTTTAGTCTTTGGTAGTAGAAAATGATTTTATTGCATTACAGATAAAATACCAATATTAGCAAGGCAATCTATTTTAACAATCTCCACAGATTCCTTTTTAACCATAGTGAACATTTAGAGGATTGTGCTAACAGATTACATTCATCCAACATGAATTTCATGCATAGAAAAGTTCTCAAACCATGTTTTGCTTCTCATTCTCATAAATTATATTACTCACCATAACAGAGGAACTAGACTTTTATTGCTGTCTTCATGGTTCCTATGTATGATGGGTACATATAATTATATCACATAGAGAACCAAACATGTATCACGGGTCTTAAATATGATATTAATCCAAATGAGGTATGATTAATACAGAGACTAAATATCTAATGGCTCAGATGTCTGCAATCTGGTTCCAATTGGCAATCTACTTCCAATTCCTGTGCTAATTCTCACCCTGTGGCATCTAATCTCACTCCTCATTCTGTGGAAACCATGGGTGTCTTCTAGCAATTGTTTGTGAATATGCATTTCAGGCAGATTAGATATTCACAATCACTCTCACCCACTCTGGAACCCACTGCAAACAGAATCACTGGAAATGCTGCCTATGTGTGGGCCGATCCTACAGGAAAAACAATTTCCACTGTACTGCATACACACACATGTTGGAGATGGGAAACGTGAGATCATCTGGTATAGCAAGCATATAGAAAGCAGAAGGGAGAGAACTGGCTGCTTGCTGGCTCCAACAGCCTTCATAAAATTCCTTTTATTACACAGAGGTAACACCTGTTGCTCCCCCCCCCAAGTGTCCTGCCATTCTCAAGGTAGAAGCCTGACATCCTTCACTGGAACTGATTCATGGAAGCCCTTGGTGAGTCCAACGGGAACAATTCAAGTAGCTGGGTTTTTCATTGTTAGGTTATTATCAATTGCAAGCAGTTCTGGAAGTAGCCTGACTTGCTGGTTCTAGAGTGTCTCCTGAAATCCCCCCCCCCCCCTGAATGTTCAAGAAAGAAAAAAACACTTTAATATTCCTGTCTCTCCTTTCCTCCTATCTGGAAGTATATTCTTATAACATGGCCATCTTGACTTTAAAGAAGTTAGAAGCTTGTAGAGCAGGGCGATCTTTCCTCTCTGCTTAAGCAAGACGCTTGATTGCAAAGCTCTCCCATCACAGGTTGATTTCCCTGTATTGGCTACTTTTTAATTGGTAGAAATCCACATATTTATAGAGAGCTGACCCACAGGATTTTAGATAAAGAAAAATGGATACTTAGTGAAATGATAAATTTTCACCTAAAATTAATACAGAGCGAACTCAAGCAGAGAATTCAAGTATTTTTTTCCTGGCTTAGAATGAACAGTTGATGAACTTGGATTAAGCCTTGTTTCAAAAGAGCAGCAGTTCCATATAGAAAAGACTAAGGCGTATTTCTGCACCCAAGGCAATGATTGCTTACTGTAAGGAAACTTGCATTTTAAAAACACTATTATGCAAAATAGTCCTTGAGAAAAACAAAGAATCGAGTAGCTCCTACAGGAAACTTTGCAGTTCTTTGGTTTGTGCTCAGTGGATCCCTGCAGGTAATTGCAGAAATAAAGAAAAAAAAATCAGGGTTTCTTCATTTAAGTGTCCGCACCAATTAAATTGACTGTGTCATCCAATGAAATACGGGACAATTTACTAGAAAAGTCTTAAAACTTCAGAAGTTAACCAGCTTTGCACAGATAAGGCACTCCCAGTGTTATGGCAATTTAAAACACTGTTTGATAAAATGAGTCATGTGATGGTAAATATGGCTGTGGGCATGTCCTCCAATTCCATGATCTTTATCTGTATACCACTGAAAAAAGAAAAACAAAAAATATAGATTATAAATGGTCCCCGTCACAAAACTGGAATGCTACAAGAATTTAGAACGTCCTTTGCTTTGTATCAGAGCAAACAACGCAATCTATTACTTGAGATGATAAAACACACATCCAGCATGCTAGATAAAGAAAAGCAGCACTTTTATGCCACTGAAACCAGAACATCGTGAAAACATTTGAAGAAAGTTGCTTTTGTTTGTTTGTGGGCTAAAAATGGTAAATCCCAATTTTAATTTGCAGTAAACTATGGATTGTTTCCCATTTTGTAAATTTCACAGATTAATAGTTCCATGGAAGTCAAGTGGTCATCCTATGATAATCATAATAATGGTGACGCTTGGTCAACATCTAATATTTATGCATACTAAAAAGGTCAGAAGACAAGATAATACTTGAGAGTGGAGTAGAAAAAGATGGAAGGGAAATACTGTGTTCTGACTGTCTCCTTCTGAAAGGGAAAAGGGGGTTAGAAAGGGAAGAGGGGCTTTGCTTCCAGATACTACATATCATAAAACTGCTGCCTGAGAACTGATTAAAATCTTCTCCATAGAGAAGATTTTTTTTAAAAAAATCTATTCTTGCCTTATAGAAGTTATAAACACAGATCCTTTTGGTTTCTCTTTACCGTGGCCATATGAATCCTCAAGATGTAATTCCTGCCTTAAGCTTAGCATCCAGAGCAAAAGGAAGCTACAATGAATCACCACTATTTTGAGCTGGGGAACTGAGCCTAATTTTAGAAGTGTCCTAATAGGATGAGGGAAACTAGAAGTGGGTGAGGCTGCTGCTCTCTTCAACAGGTCCATGCACTATTTATGCCAGAGGCAGTGCTATACAAAGAGACTCCTTGAAGCAAGAATAGGTTCCTTCCCATCAAAAAAAAAAAAAAAAAAGGATGTGCTACACTACATTTCACCCCCCAAATACTCTAGTCTAGCATATTTGTATTTCCTGATGGGATAGGGGCAGGGGTGAAATTCAGCAGGTTCTGGAGAACCGGTAGCAGAGGTTTTGAGTAGTTCGGAGAACCTGCAAATGCCACCTCTGACTGAGGTGTGAATGGAGATTTTGCAGTATCCTTCCCCTGCCACGCCTACCAAACCACGCCCACAGAACCGGTAGTAAAAAAAATTGAATTTCACCACTGGATAGTGGGAAACAGATCTCAGCTAAGAAGACCTCCAAATGGCAGCCAATTAGGAAAGATTCCCTGTGTTTCTTTGCTACAGATTTTTGTGGCCCAGATCTGCTCACCCTAGATTAGGCCAGAAAGAAATTTGGGAGATTATACACATTATTTGTAGAAAAGTTGAGTGTTGGTATTGCACACATGCTGTGGACTTCAGGTTAGTGTTTAACTCTAGTTGGGACTGGAAGAATATCTGAGAGCACTCTTACAATTATAACGTAGATAATACTACCATGTTGTAGATAGTATTAGCACAACTATGCCAGAATATAATTGAAGGCCTGGCCAAATATCACTCATCCATTTTTATGGGTCTATGCCAGAGGTGGGTTGCTCCCAGTTTGACCTGGTTTGGCCGAACCGGTAGTGGTGGTGGCAGGAGGCTCTGCCCACCCACCCGGGTACTTCTGTGCATGCACATAAGAGTTGTGCATGCAAGCACGAGTGGACCAGTAGTAAACTGGTTAGCAATCCACCACTGGTCTATGCATGTCTTGTGTGATAGATTCCAAGGAAGGAGGGGTGCATTTCAGAGGAGTAGAGGCAAATCATTTCGGATAGTTTGGGTGAGAGAAAGAAGGTGAAGACTAATAGTTTTCTGAGCATAGGCTTGCATAGATAGCAGACTGCTTTAGTTTGGCAAGATTCTGCCTATAGGCATGGATCGATAAAGAAATCTTCTTAGAAGAATCACTACATATCCTCCTTTGACGCCTGACATCTGCAACTTTCAACGATAGGTAAGAACATTTGGGAGAAGATGGGGTTTGCGTAACCATGGGAACAGTTTAGTTGCTCTCATCAGCAAGCCCTTTGTATGTGGCAGACCGTGCAGCACCCACAAGCACCAATATGCCCTTCATTCCACAATGCTCCATGAGGTCTCTGTTCTGCCTGGTTTCTCTTGAAAGAGCATTTTAAAAGAAAAATAAGCGAAGAAGCTATAGTTTCTAGGGCTGTAGTTATTTAGAAGAGTACATCTCCTCCCTCACACCCCAAATTCTACTGGGATAGTCACAAACATCCTGACTAACTTACTTTCTGATAAATGAGTATTCTATGCATTGGCCATGCTCATTACTGAACCCATTCTGAGAACGGGCAAGTTTCTATTTGGTGAATATACTCATTGTATATTCTCAAGTCCCCCACCCTTATCCTTACCCTTAGTACCTCTCAGTAGCAGGAAAACTAAATCGGTGCTTTAAAAAAGAGGGGTGGAGAAACCCATTGCTATCTACCTTGTATCTTCTCCCTTCCCAAAAATACTTTCTATTATTGGTGCTGGTGCTGCTGCCCATAACTGGAGCAAATGACCAAGGTTTCCTGAGACCATGAAGCAAACTCCTTGTCCCAACAAAACCCCTTCTATTAAGTTACTGTGAATTCTGCTCATTCACATCCAGAAAGTCTTTCAAGGGAGGATTTACAGTCACAGACCTTATCTGGCTTGGATAGATGAAAGGCCGATATCTGCAAAACTTGGCAAGGAGTCTCAGAGTCACGAACCAATTAAGCAAACTAATTGTCTCCTGCAAACTCCACTCTCCTTTCGCTCCTCTTTTATTTTCTTTGGGAGGGGCCATTCATCGTCCATCTGTGGCCTTACTCCCAAGTCGCCCTCTGTTCTTTAGCTGTTCCCTTCATCTGACAACTCTGCGCATGTGCACACTGGGAACAGGCTCCATCTGTTCATCTGCCTCACTGATGTCTGACTCTGAAGGCAGCTGATAACTGGCATACGACTATGGCCCCTTCTCTGCCTCCGACACAGAGCCCTCATCAGAGCCTTCCCCAGACTCCAGGACTGGCCCATGTTCCTCCCCAACCTCCTCACTGTCTGAATCTGGTGGGCCAAGACACAAACTCTTCGCTTTAAAGGAAGTGCACATGCATCTATTTCTTACCTGCAATCTGCAACACTAATTTTAGTAATATGAATCTAGCCTCCTTCTCTTATACAGATAATCCTTGACTTATGGCCAGTGCTTAGTGACCATTCAAAGTCAGACGGACCCTCCCCCAACACCACATAGGAAATTATGACCTGGTTCCAAAGTTACAATGGTCACCTGCGGTCACATGACTGCATTTTGGGCGCTTGAAAACCGGCCCACATTTATGGTCATTTGCAGCATCCTGCCATTATGTATTTGCAATTTATGATGTCTTTGCCCAAATCGGGCATTTATGCCTGGTTTTCAGCAAAAAAAAATGCCCTATAACATCAAGTGGGCTCACTTAATGACCACAATGTTGACTTAATGATCATGGTGATTTACTTAATGACCACTGCAAAAAAAGGTAATAAAATCGGGTGGTCATGGGATCACTTGCTTTACAACTCTCATGACTTATAATGAGCAGGCTCCATTAAAGCTATGAGTTGAGGACTATCTATATTCATTTCTTCACTGAAAATCTAAGCCAACATGTATGCTAAGCTTCTGATGAATCCCTTCACATACCATTGCTTGGAAATCCACCCCTGCGTCAACCAGAGCTTTTGAAATCTGGGCTGCTTGCTGAAAATGAACGTTATCTAAGAAGTAAGAACAGACAAACTGTCACAATAAATAGCAATAGCACTTAGACATATATACCACTTCAGAATGCTTTACATCCCTCTCCAAGCTGTTTTAGAGAGTCAGCATTGCCCCCCAACAATCTGGGTCTTTATTGTACCAACCTCAGAAGGATGGAAGGCTGAGTCAACCTTGAGCCTGGTGAGATTTGAACTGCTAAATTGCAGGCAGACGGCAATCAGCAGAAGTAGCCTACAGTACTGCACTCTAACCACTGAGCCACCGAGGCTCATAAAAGCAGACTTAGATGGAAAGAAAGAATGGAGAACTCATCATACTAGCATTTTACTAGAGATTTATGAGACATGCAAGTCCTCAAGACCGTTGCTTTCCTTGGCTTTGTTTTGTTACTAGTAGACGTATGACCAATGAGGTCTAACTCTGCTTACCATCTGCTGTTCCATGGATCAGGAGATAGTCAACGCTTTTGAAGTTTTCTGCTCTGGCCATAACTGTAGAGTTCTAAAATGTAAACATAAATAAATGATATAACCCCTCTAAGTGAGTGATTCAAATACATATTAATACAACAAATTGCTATTTTAAATAAAAAGGAAAATAAAGGCTGCATATGTATGACCATGGTATTCATACAGCAATCGTAAATGTGAAAACCTCTCTGCGCCTGTCATGAAGATGCCCTTATGTTGACTTCAGAAGGCAACAGATGCAGATGTTCCCTCTAAAGGGCTGCTGAAGACCGTTCACCAAGACTAAAAGTTCTGCACCAGCAATGAAAACAAAAGCTTCAACTATCATCACCAATACCCAAAGGCAGAACCCTGATGGAAAAATGACACTTCTGGAGAAGAGAAATGGAATGGTTGTGGATCCACTTAGAGAGGTTTATAAAAATAAGCCTTTTAACTTGCAAAGCTGATGTTCTAATTACTGCACCTGGGTCTTAATAGAAAAATATAACTTCTTCATTTACCTAAATGGCTGGACAAGTATCGAACACTTTTGGATAACTAAAGGGTTGCATAAAAGCTACTGCTGTTTATGCTCTGAAGATAAAGATAATTGCGAAATACAAATCTAAATAAGCAGGAGTTGTTACTCCTGCTCCTGTATGAACCAAAACATAACTTAGATAAGTTACTTCCCCACTGATACTCATTGGTAAAAAGAACTCACTGTATGCTACTAATCATCCAGGGTCTTAATACATGTTCAAACTATCTGTATAAAATGTTCTGTAAATTTAAAAATTTATCTCACACATTTATACCGTGCCCACGGATTGGTGGCAGCCATTGCGTTCAACCCTGCAAAGGTGTGCATGCATGTGTTTGTGAAAGCTCACATCCCACTTGCCAACTTTGTGTTGACAGCACAGGCTTCTAGTTTAGGGGAATAAACAGAAATAACTCCATGCCTGTTTTTCCCCTTTCGTGATTAGTACCATCAAGGTAAACACAACTTGCCACTTTTCAGAAGGAAGACAACTCAGCTTCCCACATGCAGCGAGTAGATGTGTAAAACTAAAGTATGACACTGTGGAAAGTTGAACACTGCATTTTCCTGTGCTTTTCCAGTGCTCCTCTTTGGGACTTGCAGTGCTCAGCATGGATGTTCTCTATGGAATCCAGTGACAATCAAGAAAGAGACAATCTATGCTATATTTTGATAGCTCTTCGTTCTCCTGGAAAACTGACCTCATTTTTCCCCCCCAACCTTCAGTTGTTCCATTTGTTGACTGTGAACAACAGGAGGAAGGAAAATACGTTTTGAATATAACATTGCCAAGAATTAAGACCAGCCAAAAAATGGACTCACCATCTTCAACACATTTGCCTAATTCTTATCGAATGAATCTTTACGAGGGAGAATCTGACTCAGGGCTCTCACCATAAGCCCAAGAAATAGCCTTCAGGGAGCTCTTTCAGCCAAGGCTGAAAAACATCATTTTCATGTCAATCCAGCGGTAAAAATGCCCTCTGCTCCCTTTTAAGACCAAGGCCACAGCAAGGAGTGCTCGCTTTGTGAAAAGATCAAACAGCAGTCAACATTTTACCAGCACTCAATAAACAAGTTAATATTTGGCTGGAATCTGAAGGTCTCTTTCCCTTTGGCATATTTCTTGGATAATAGAATAAATGTCATACCAGTACAAGATGGCATATTTACAAAATTGTACCCTGTTTTGCATAACCTAATGATGCAGCAGTTCTTGAGGAATGAACATTTCAAATCTGCTAGGAGAAGATTGCCAAATCTATGACTGCTTCGAATACTTGCCAACAGCATATCAAATTCAGAGAGATCTGCAAAACAACCTCTTTCACAAGTTTAACAGTCTCCCCCCACCTCTAGTGCATGGTCTTCTGGCAGCACATGACAGCTACTATCTGCATCACCCTTCCTTCCCACCCACCCCCAAGTCATCAATTCAGCCCCTCCCCTCCCTCCCTTTGCACATGTCAGTCTGGTTTCCTTCAGGCCTTCTCTTGATCCTCCTTTGGGGAACTGTTCAGTTTTAGGGCTCATCTATCTGGCTTAAAATCTCTTCTAGTTTGCAATCCTGAGACACTTGTGGAGTGATTTGTCCTCAACACATGTGGCATTATTCTTTACTACATCTGGCTCTCCACCTTGTTCTATTTTATAACACTTGTTCCAGTGCTGAACACCACAGTACAACTTGGGAAGCATTCTGCAAAATTGAACAGCCCAAAGCCCCTGACCTGGGATTGCTTCACACACCTTCATCACCTGGTGATGGCCATATCAAGTGAGGATATTTAAAGGCGAGGCCTCAATCCAATGCAATAGGCAGCCTGATTTTAGCACCAATGCCATCTCACAATCTCTGGTCACAATGAATCCCTTTGAATGTTCACATGTTCGGCTCCTGGGGACCTCCCTGGCGTACGTACTTGAGTAAATTAGACATCAGTGTGTTGCATCCCCAAATATTAATAGTTGCTGGTGATGTGTGATGCTGGTGCCCCAATTGGTACAATCAGCTTTGAACAGAAATCACTTCTCATGTGAAAACAGGCACTGTAAGTTCTGATTAAACTGGGTTTCACAAAAGCAGGACTCTTAAATGGTGGATCAGTACTACATATCACTATGAAATGCGTAGGCTCCAGGACAGCCTGCCTGCAGCCTTAATAATCACAGAGATTTGGACTGTAAATTCCAGCCAGCATGGTTTTATTTCCTTGAGAAAATAAATAGGAATTCTTGGAATGGCAATCAAATACATGACCATCCATTTAATAGCAACATTAGGGAATGTGCTCCTCAACTTGGAGAAAACAAGACAGAATTCTGTAAAGGAGCTTCTGCCTATACAATTATCTATACTAGAAAGGTTTTTCCGCCAAAAGAATTAAATAATAAACTTCTGGCACCGTTACAGTTGATTCTGTAGATTCTATACAGAGCTAATTGCCTTTAGGAGGAATTTTGGTGGAAGGAGGGAAGGAGGGAGGGAGAGAGGAAAGGAAATATTAGGATCACTGAAAGTGAGGATATTCTGATGAGATATTTTTATGTTTTTTTGTAGACAGGAAGGGGTGAAAACAGGGCAATTCATTGTTCCATGATAAGAAGAAAACTTGGGCCACTGAAGGGGAGAAATCTACTCCAGATAATATCTTAAACCAAGACGATTTTCATTCCTTGCTACTTATAACGTGAACTGAATTAAACATTTCTTCCCTTAGGGGATTCACAATAATTCTCTTCCGTATCTCCATCCCTCCATAACTTTCAAATTCTCCAATTTAATCCTCTGAGTAACACACTGGAAACCTTTAGCTTTTGGGTACTGGCAGTTTCAACGTGGACACTGCCAGCAATGAATGCTGTGCCAAGAGAAGTCGACTCCTGGCAAAAAGAAAGATTATACAGTCCTCTGGAGCCATCTGTGCTGTGAAGCTGCAGAGTGACATAGTGCACCCAGAGCACTAACATTTCAATCTGTAGAAAGTTAAGAGACTTCCAATTCCATAAGGGCTTTAGCTCTACCAAGTGACTTATTAGAACCCAAAGTTATTCGGCAAGCAACCTTCTTCCCCAAATATAGCAAGCACGGAGGGGTAGGGTAGAATAAAGATTCCATAACTAGTTGGATTTAAATTGGAAAGTTTTACTGAAAACCTAGACAACTTTTTAAGTTTAAATCTCTCATAGAGCTGAAAGAAGGGCAGTAATGGCCAAACTGTGACTCCAGGGTTCCCCCCCCCCCCGAGACTGTAACACAGGGGCACCCAAACTTGGCAACTTTAAGACTTGGGGACTTCAATTCTAACTCCCAGAATTCTCCAACCAGCTGGCTGGAGAATTCTGGAAGTTAGAGTTGAAATCCCCAAGTTTTAAAGTTGCCAAGTTTGAAAACCTCTTATTAGTATAACAATTTTTTTCATAACTTGATAAAAACAATGAAAGAACTGTCCTGGATAGGATCGGGCCAAATTTACCTCACAAAAACCTTTGATTCAACTGCTTGAAGGAAAGTCACAAAGAGGATGTGGAGTTAACAGCTGCTGCCTACATCTGATCCCTATTTAAAATTAGCCTATCTATAATTCAGGAGGTAGCTTTTAAAACAAGTAGTGCTCGCAAGTTTGAAAGCCATTTCAAAAAATAAATAAATAACAGGGAACAGCACCACTGAGGGCAGGGAGTTCCAACAATTAATTATGAATGTGTAAACAAGTTCTTTCTTTTGCTAGTCCCAAATTTTCCCACATGTTCTTTCATGCCATGATTCTCCTCCTGCTAAGGGGAGGGGGAAAGACTGTTCAATTTTTTTTTACATTATGCATGACTTTCAACACTTCACCCATCACATCTTGTTCTTTCTCATCTTCACACCCAGCTTTTTTGTTTTGCTTTTTAGAGACAGCCATAGGCGACTACAGTAAATGAGGACCTTCAAGTACAAGCTGCACATTTTACACCACGATATACATTTCATCACTAGTTGCACCCCATCAATTGTTTTGAATGTCCTTTTTTTGCCTTTTTTTTTAGCTTGTAGTACTTAGCTTATAGTACTATTTCTGAGGGGTGGTAGCCAGAAAGGTGTAGTCAAGAGTAGTCAGACTGTAGAACTCTATAATGACATTTTTAAAAAGTTTAAAGCTTTCCCTTATCCAGTGGGATCTGCCTCTAGCGGGTGGAGCTCATCTCCATTTCGTAGCTGAGGGAGCCAGCCTTGTCTGAAGACATTTCCATGGTCATATGTACCTATTTATCTACTTCCAGTTCCATGTCCATGGAGAGTCTTTCAGGAGGCAACTGGACTTTCTTGGGTTGTGTGTGTGTGTGTGTGTGTGTTTTACAAGAAAGTCCAGTTGTCTCCTGAAAAAGCTACCTTTGAGACAACAATGACCTGGATGACTGAGACTCTCCATAGACTTTTAGCTGAGCACTTTGGAGTGAATACCCTCAAATCGTGTAGGAATATGAATGGATTGCCAGAAAAATTGCAAACTGCAGGAACAACTTGCGCTTCAGTTTGAGATGCAGACAACACAGACTCATCCCCAACAGCCTGTGCCTGTCTTCAACAGTGAAGGGACACAGGGCAGAAACATCATGCAGTCAAGAAGGCTCCACACCCATTTGCACTACTCAGGTGACCCTGAGGACACAGATAAACCTCCAAGTGGCCTCAACTACTCTCTAAAAGAGTGCAAATGACCAACTGTCTGCAAGGAGTATAAATCCTTCCATTCCCGACTATTCTGTCAGAGCTGAAGAAGCTTCTTGGATGAGAAGCGAAACGTCTTCAAAGAAGAAACAAGAAAGTCTAGTTGCTTCTTGAAAAAAGCACCTTTGGGACTTTGAACTGCTAGTTGGGCAGGAGCTGGGGCAGGAATGGGAGCTCCCTGTCATGCGGTATTTGGGTCTCAAAAGGCCAACCTTCCGTCCGGCATCTTAATTGCTAGGCTACCATGCTCCCTGCATAATGACATTATAATGGCAGTTTTATTTCCCAGGTAGGATGTGTAGATCTGAAGGGCAACACCGCCTAACTCATTTGGACCTACCAAAAACAAGATCCAGGCCACCTGAGATGTTCTCATTCTGTCCTAACTATTTTGTGAGGTAACCTGGAGTGAGTGAATGGGACCGCCCTCTTCTAGGTTTCAGCAGTATTGGAAATTGGGACCTGAATAGGTGAATCTGCAAAACTCCAGGTTAATTTATTTAATAGATTTGTACAGTTGCCCAACTTGGGTTCTTAAGGGTTGGTGTTTGTTTGTAGGGTGTATCTTTGAGTCAGTTTTTAATTCCTGGTGACCCCAGGCCGCTGGACTTTTTTTTGGCAAAGTTTTGTGTTTAAAGACCTCCGTCCTAGGGCTAATAGAAAGTCACTAGCCCAAGCTGGCTTTGTGCTAAAGGCGGGAGCAGAACTCACCAGTTTCTAGTTGAGGGTCTTAACCACTACACCAAACTGGTTCTCAAATGTCAGAAATCCAGATTTATTTATTTAAAAAATTTGTATGGCTGCCCATCTTAGATTTTTAAGTACAAAAACAAATTATCTGGTCGTCAAGCTCTCATTTTATGATTCTGGCTTTTATTTATTAGAAACATGGGCTTTTTTCTCCATAATTCACTCTTCCCTGTTCCCTCATTAAACCTGAACAGTAGATGCCCAGTAGCAGCATTTGTTACATGGATGCTACTTATTCAAGTAGCAACTGGAGTAGAGATAGGATAACTTAGGAATTTTTTCCCCTCCCTTTGCCCACAGTGGGTTTTGTGACTGAATGAGCTCAGTGTGTTAATTCAATTCCATATCTATTTCTATTTCAAAACAAAATATCTTCCACCCATTTTAGATCTCCTTATCAAATGTACACCCTCAATATGTACGTCCATTCCATTCCTTTCTGCTTAGTTTCTGCACACTTCAGCAGGTGTTCAATAGCTGTGGATGTGTCAGAATGCATGAATTTTTATTATGATGTAATGGAAAAATAGAAACAGTATGCTTAGATCGAATTATAATTTACTATAAAATTCTTTTTGGAGCAAAGGCATCATAAACATAATATTGAAGAAACAGAAACATGTACACAACTTACTCAAGCACAACATTTACAGATATGTACTGGCATGTAAAAATGCTGCAATAGCAGATATAATAGAAGATATGCTTGTTTAAGAGCAAGGTTAGCAGAGATATATCTCAGGCTAATTCCCCACTGCTCCTGGAGACTATACCACAGTTTCAATTGCAGTGCAAACTCCAAAAGTCAAAGAACAAATTAAATGCCTAAATCGGTTTTAGTGAAGAAATGCCACAGATTAAGAAAGCGGGAAAGAAAATATACTTTTATAAGTATCTGGTCAGATCCATGCAACCATATTTTCTTGATAAATGTGTCAAGTGATGCAATGGTAAATAGGATTATAATCTCTGGGCTGCAAATAGTATTCAGATTACACTAAAAGCCGCAAAGTATTATTTGCTGTCATCTAATGGTTTCCTAGATTATTGCAACCCAGAGAGGGTAGACAGAGTGTCTACCAAACCCAAATCTCTACACAAGGATATATCAAATAGCATACCAAATTAATTTCCCTAATAAAAAAATATCAGTTTTGCAAAAGTTATTTATAAATATTTATATTCTAATAGAGAACAGATGGAATCCATACTCCAAACAAATGCAGTCACCTAACCTCTACAATATAGCAAAACACTGTAAATAATTTAGGAAACATCTGGAATATATTAGCAACACTCAACAGAAACTGTTAGAATATTCTTCACTTAGAACAACTATTGCTTCTGATGTCCTAAATAAATTACCATATAACCACTTCTCTATAAGAAGGATAGGAAGTGGGGGAGGACTGCTATCACAGCTTGCTTCTCATGTTCCCCACATGTTATGTAGGACTTGATGTGTGTGAGTGTGATCCAAAGTTTATGGTAGAAGTACAGAGGAGAAAGGAGTATGTGAGTCACGTTGTGTGAGATTCATCTTGCACTGTTTAATTTTTGTACAGTAAAACGTGAAAGACATTTTCTTACCTCATAGAAATCCAGGTTATCATTTTTTTCAGGCAAACCCATGTAGCGTTCAGTATATATAGAATCTAGGATGGAGGGGAACACATAAAGGCGGCATTACTCAATATCTAAATGGTATGCTTGTGTATTTAACTCTGGTGTTCATTGGCATCTATTTACCAATATAGTGAATGTTTAATTGTGCTAAGTTTCCCCTAAAATTTACTGTTTCCTTAATAATAGGAACTGGAGATAATCACATTTTTAAATATTCAGTATGCAGTTGTCCATAGCAACAGCATTATTAATTATTCTCAGCAACCTTATGCCAAAGTAATATTATTCTCTCATCAACTGGAAAGAAAATGGAAGTTTTACTAAGTCTGTTTTCTCTGGCTGAATTGCAATAAACTAAGGATGCTATCAAAACAGGGCTATTTCTTTTAGGGTCATCAAACCATCAAAATAAACCATTGACTATTTCTTGACACACACACACCCCTTCGGCATATTGTTTGTTTATTTAATTTTAAGCATTTTTTTTAAAATCCCAAACAAAGAGATTCTGGCAGTGTGTGTGTTGTGCTATGACATTTTTGGGTGTTCCCTCAAATACCTCATTCATAACCATAAAAAACTAGATAATTTCTCAATCTCCCTCAAACCTTAGCCAGACCCTATGTAATTGACAATAGCTGTACCTTACCCAATTCTAGTTTAAAGTGGTAGTTAAGGTCTTAGACAAGGGATTCCCAAACTTTTTGTCATACCTCCCTTTCCTGTAACCTTAATGTAAACATCCCCCCTAAAAATTCAAACACCAAAATGAAAACAATTGAAAGCAATACAATGAAACTTTGGGAAATGTGGATTTATTAACCAAAGGGTTTTTCACACCTCTCCTGAACTCTATATGCACCTCCCCAAGGAACGTATACCTCACAGTTTGGGCAACCTTAGGTAAGACTTGTGTGCGACTAGACCCAAAATTCTGAGTCAGTCATATAGGACATCGGTAGAGTCTGTACTACTCACTAGGTGGGATCCAAGTTTGTGCTTCCATCAATAGAAGCAAGTCCACCAATAGGAAGGAGATTTCCCTTTCTCCAGAGCAAGAAATGCATCTCCAGTAAAGGAGTTGGATAAAGTCCTGATAAATTAGGAAGCATCTGGTAGCATGACAGTATTTCAAATATCTAGCCACTTTGCAGGCTTCCAGAAAAGGAAAAGTGGAAGAGGGACCATATTTGCTGCCTTGAGCTTCTTGATGAAAGGAGTGATAGAGATGACTTAAAAATAAACACTCCCAATACTCTGCAGTTGGCATACTGGAAATCATTTAAAAGAGATTGCTGCCTATATAGGCATGTCATAGAATATTGCCTCTTGATAAACAGATCAAGATATGATTTTTCTGGAGATAGCATACTCATTTGCAATGAGAGTAATCTATGAACAGTTATGCATATTCTAATACATAATCATTTTAAAAAAAAAACTGAATGGTAAAATGTAACCATTGAAGGTAGGACAGAAGATGTTAGCACTGATATTCAAAAGGAAAACATGAAAAGGGGGGCTTAATTACACAAATGCCATCCTTTCTGACTTCTAGCAACCAAATCATAGCCCCAATAAAAAGCAGAAACTCAAGAAGCCACCACAAAGCTTACCCAATCAACTGATAATTAGAATCAAAATATGAGGCAGAAATATACAGCTTTAATGTTCCAAATCCCCTTTTGGGAGTTTTTAGAACATCGAGCAAACTAATAATAAGTGTTTGATAATACTTTAGTATACATAAGAGGCAACCAGCAGTATCATTCAATTAGTAAATATTCTAATAAATGATTAAAATTGTGACCCTTTTTTCCAAAGCTCATTGTAATAAAGGAACTTGGTAGCGGTGCCAACGAATTCTATGACATTCAGAAATGATCCCTCCAGAGTTTGGAACACATGGCACTTTTGAGGAATGCAAATGCAGACATTTGCATTATAGTAAAATTTCAAATATTAAGTAATTTTGTGCCATTTAAAGGTTAAGCAGATTATCTTCCTTTCAAATCCAAGTTTCCAGTAGGGGGAAAAATATATTAATCTAGGGACAGATTAATATAATACCTCACATGAGTTCAGGAAGGCAGACCAAATGGTAGTTTCATGTGGGAGAATTATGTATCCAACTATTCATACTTGATACCATTTCCCACTGTGACTTCTGTGGTACTTAACAAAGGATCTTACGACTTTATTGTGAATAAATAAACACACACCATAGTATTGCCAGCGTGAGACAGGTGCCACAGCTATTCCGCACTTGAACACATCACTTCCAGCTCCTAGGACCATGGAAGTTACATAACCTCCATAAGACTGAGAGAAAAGAAACATTATTATTTCAAACAGGTCAAGAGGGATACAATGTTCTTCTCACAAAGTCTGTGTGTGTGTGTGTGTGTGTGTGTGTGTGTGTGTGTGTGTGTGTGTGTGTGTGTCTGTGTGTCTGTGTGTCTGTGTGCTCGTGTGTGTATGTGTGTATGTGTTAAAGAATAGCTTTGCTTATATCTCAGTTTGCTGAGTAATGAGGCAAGGCTTGTTCTAACACCACTTTTGGGGGGAATAAAATCCTTTGTAAAACCTGTATAATATCTTAGTCTTAGTTTCAAAAAGAGACATCTCTAGGTTGGGCTAGGGAGAATGAGACATAGTCTCATGCTCTCCTTCATTTTATATAGCTGCCAAGTTGCGACTCAGGGAAACCTGAATCTGAAGCTGTCTGGTCATTTCTCTTGTAATTAACAACTTTTACTAGAAGGAAAACATTTTGTCAGCAACAATTCACTTCTTTGTAACTAAAACTTCGATTTAGTTAGCTGCCCAGAGTTGGTTATATGAGGGGTGGCTGAATAAATGTTTTTAATTAATTATTTAACTAACTAACTGATGTAGGAGTTAAATTGTGATGATGCTGGGAGAGGGGAATTTAGATTGGTTATTGCAGATACAGATTACATATGACAGATTACAAGTAATAATTCTATCGATTATCAATTTTAATGTGTTAATACAAAACATTGTGTCTGCTGAGATTTTCTGAGATCGTCTAAAACCATTTGATGTATGTGAGTTCAGCAATCTTTCACTTCATTTTAAGGTCTGTAATTAACTAGGAGACTGAAGTACTCTATTGTTTTGACCTTGTTTTGACTTGTGTCTATAAATTCTTCAGTATACATGCAAACTTTGTGCTATGTAGATAGAGTCCAAAGGGGCAGATGCTGGTGCATATCACATCATGTCCAGCATGTGAAGGCATCTCGCATTGTGTATGTGTACTTCTTGGGGCCCACAATGGGGCTGTTGGTATAAATGTGGGGATAAGCTAGACATCTGGGTTTGTTCCAGGGCCTAGATCCCATCATTATCCTGTTGTTTTTTGTTGCATGTGAAAATATGCTTCAGATGGTTAGATGGTTTTTCGTACGCAAACATGGTTCTGAAAACGCATAGTATCATTGTCTAGTATGGGCTTCAGCATATTAATAATGCATTTGAGTGGTTTGAGCTCTGACCTGGAGGAAGCAATCAGTGAAATTTGGTTGTGCTGTCATTGTGGTCTGTTTTTTAAGTGGACCTCCCTGGAAACTGATTTGCCTTAATAGATTTGTCTATTGATCTCATTGGATGGGTGGTTGAGTATCATAAATACCAATACTCAACCAATGTTCAACTAACAGTTGAATATCTCTGTCAAGCATAGCTGCAGCACTGAGATTGGCTAATAGAGCTATCATCTATAGTTAGAAAAGGTCCTTTCAACTCCTTGTTAGCCTAGACTAACATAGCTCTTCCACTCCACAGATGAGCCTGAGTATTTGTGCAAGGAGACATCCCCTTCTATCATAAAATATTCCCTTGATATCACAAAAATATAATGAGAATAGACTTTTAAGTGGAAAGTTGGCCCAATCGTTGTAAAATGCAATCAAATTCCCTGCAACCTTATATAGAAGCCAACCTACACTAGAAACACAGAAGAGGACAGTGTGACAGACTAGATTCAGTGTAAAACACAATGCAGCTTGCTTGATTTTTGCTTATCATGTTGTGTGAACAAGCAATTAAAGTTTGCACACTATGCTTTATGGCTTAATGTAGTGTATGAACCTATCTAACTATGGTTTACTCAATAAACTTTGAATAAGCAACTCATGGCTTAATGCAAGGTACAAACCCAGCCACATAGTTATTGTGGCCACTAGAAGATGTGAGAATGTAGAAAAAAAGTCTTGCTGGATCAAGGCAATGACCCAGCTGTTCCAGTTTCTTTGTGTCTGAATAGTCCATCAGATGGCATAAAGATGTGGGGAGAGATAGATGGAAGCAATAATTCAGGTTTTGAATGGAAACATTTCTCTACTTGTCTTAGAAAAGGGGTCAACTAAAATATAGAGGAGTAAAGAATATCTCCTGTGTCTTCAGAAGCAGCAATTTATCACAATGTGTATTCAAGTGAAAGACCTTTTCTTACTAGCAGCAAGAAAATCTGAGCAAAACAATTAATACTTTAATACATACCCAGCCCCAAATAGCCATTTTGGTCTCATCAACAAAGCTCATTTCAGAAAACACCCTAATTAATAACAGAAAAGTGCACATATTCAGAAAAATCTTATCTTATTCTTCTTTGCAACAACTTCCTTTCCCCCACCAGCCTTGCTCCCTGGAGAACAGGCATATTAAAATGTAATACATAAATATTAATATTCAATACTTATTCCCAAACATGTTTTTTTTTCCTATTCTACTTTTAAAAATAATAATAATAATTGGATTACCAATAAGGAACAAAGGAAGTAGAAAGAAGGCTACTGGGGTTAGAAATAGAAGAGAAATTGGTGTATTTGTGTCAATCAAATTTTCATTTTCAAACTGCCCATCAAAATTCATTTCTCTGAATGCTACCGTCCAATTCATTGATCAAAGAATTAGGGAACATTAAGGAAAGGCCCGCACAAACATGTTTACCTCATGCAAATACAGTAATTAACTATGTTATATGATAACTGTTTGCAAAAACTGTGTATTAGGTTAAAAAATGTACTGTTAAGTTTGGAATTTCTTTTAAAAAAACACCCAAGCTTTATATTAATACAGGTCTGTCAAACTCCTGGCCACAGGCTGAATGCGTCACATGATGGCCATGCCCATGCCCAGTTTAGCAAAGGGGAAAATGCATCACGTGACACTGTCATGATGTGAGTTTGACACCCCTGTATTTATATGAGGGGATGATAAGGTAAAGGTTCCCCTAGCATATATATGCTAGTCATTCCCGACTCTAGGGGCCGGTGCTCATCTCTGTTTCAAAGCCGAAGAGCCAGCGCTGTCCGAAGACGTCTCTGTGGTCATGTGGCTGGCACGGCTAAACACCGAAGGCACACAGAACGCTTTTACCTTCCCACCAAAGGTGTTCCCTATTTTTCTACTTGCATTTTTGCTTGCTTTTGAACCGCTAGGTTGGCAGAAGATGGGACAAGTAATGGGGGCTCACTCCGTTACAGGGTGCTAGGGAACTGCTGACCTTTCTGATCGACAAGCTCAGCGTCTTAGCCACTGAGCCACTGCATCTCATGATAAAATTTAGTAAACAGAAAAAACTAGAAACGAAGAAAAACCAAGCCTACAAAATTCTGCAAGGAGAAACATTGAGAGAAATCCAGTTAAGATGTTAACCATCCCAACTAAGGCAATGAAGGCAGAAACATACTTGGCTGCTGAGATCTGATCTTCAACTTCATAGGTTCCCAGTCTTCGGTATATCGCATGCAGAATTTTATCTCCTTGAAAGCCGCTTCCTCTACCATCGAAGCTGGCCACAATAATCCCTTCGGAGCTTGCCAGATACGTAGACCAGCTGATCCGGAAGGCAAAATCTGCTTTCTGACTACAAGGCCCTGCATATCTATGGAAAGAAAGTTGGTTGACTTGATCCATGCTGTGCTCTATTTGTTCTGCCCTTTCCAAATTCTTATATAAGCAGGGATTTGGTTAGAACAGAAAATCTCCAGCAGCCTATTCTTCAATTAAGTTTGCCACAAACAACGTAACAATAGAACTGAGATTCAGACACATGAAACATATCCTTATGGTATGCTGGATTTTGTATTTTTTATTATTATTTGTCTGGCTTTAGCTGTACTGAATGCTGATTTTGCTATACACAAATATGACTGGAAATTTAAAAAAAAGCAATATAGACAGCAATTTAGGTTAAAATGCATTCTAATCAGAATGGTATTTCGAAAGAATACTCTAAATAAAGAAAATTTAAAATTGAAGCACAAAATGATAAGAAATGAGACTGAATCATATGATCTTTTTTCTGGCATAATCAGTATATGGATTCTATGGTAGAATTCTATCTTAACTTCCATCTAACTCTCTCCATTGAATTGTTTCCATCTTCATCTTGTAAAATAATGAGCTGGTTTTTTAAAAATTCATTCCTTTATGGTTGCTTTAGCGCTTAGAGCATGTCCAACAAGAAGTCAGAAATCCCCATTCTCTCATGAAACACAATGAGTAACTTTGGACCAACCTAATCTACCGTAATTTATTGTGAAGTTGAGGATAATCATGAACCTCCTGGAAGAAATCTCAAATAACATTAAATGCTCATGACTAAGTCCTATTGAAATGACTGCCCATAGAGATGGTTTCAATCTATATTATCTACATTCCGACTCTCACCGCAGGCCTTCATTCAAATATAGCAAAACTGAGTTTAAGCTGTAAGCATTTGTTCTTGCTTCATTGCAGGAATGTCTTGATGTCTCACACCTTTTTGCTTTTTTCCATAATGGAAGGCATTATGGATCCTCAATTATTTATTTTCCAAATATTGTTTGACATTGTGACATTTGCTAACAGATTACTGCCTTATCCAGAACATTCAAATCAGGTCTTGCATCAAAGCCCAGCAAACATAATTAGTGGCTTTTGAGCTGCTGCATGAGAGTATTGCTCTTGCCTATAGCTACTGGGGCTCCTGCAGCAATTACAGCTATGGGCCACACAGTCGCTTGCTCAGTTCCTCATTGAATAGTCTTATCCGACGATATTAACATTTCTGGAATATATGAAGAGCAAACACTCTTAATGAGTTGCCCAATTAAAGGGTAAAAGTTCCCCTCACACATATGTGTTAGTCATTCCTGACTCTAGGGGGTGATGCTCATCTCTGTTTCAAAGCTGAAGAGCCAGCGCTGTCCAAAGATGTGGTGGTCATGTGGCCAGCATGACTAAACGCAGAAGGCACACGGAATGCTGTTACCTTCCCACCAAAGGTGGTTCCTATTTTTCTACTTGCATTTTTACATGCTTTTGAACTGCTAGGTTGGCAGAAGCTGGGACAAGTAACGGGAGCTCACTCCATTACACAGTGCTAGGAATTCGAACTGCTGACCTTTCTGATTGACAAGCTCAGCATCTTAGCCCCTGAAATACCACATCCCGTAGTTGCCCAATTATATCTCCCCAAATGGAAGTCCCTATGTTGATGCCATAAATGTTGATCAGGTGCAAGATGGCAGCTATGTGGCTCAGATTTGAAAAGCTTGTTCAGAATGAGGAGGCATAGATCCTTTTCAAAGTATTAAAGTAGCTGCATCCTGCAGGAGGCTTATATGATTGCTTCAAAGCCTGTCCTTGATATTGTGTGTACTCTGGGACAAATGCGACAAAGAATCTGTACCTGCATATACAGTTCATGCACAAACACTGTGGTAAACCTTCAAGGAGGCTGCACTTCTGAAAAGAGGCAGCTGCTTTAATGCTTTGAGGATGCCTATTTTACTATTGTTAACAAAAACCACAAAGTCCTTTTTCAATGTTTTTCACTCCCCTACTTTTTAATAAAGTGATCAAGTGCAAAAATGAAGAGGTCTGTTTTTCCCCTCGCAATAGATCTGAAGGCTAATTATATATCATCTGAAGAATGTACATAATTGAAAACAGATAATCTACGAATCATGGTCATGTTCACATCCCCCTGCATACTACCCCAAAATCCAAATGCTAATCTTCAATAAATTTAAACAGTGTACCAAGATCCACTTTTGCTGTTCAGAATTTTAATAAGCCTTTGATCATGGATCACTGAAATTTTAATTAGTGAAATGATTAATAATTATAATGATTATTATATATTATGTTTAAAATATGAATTAATAGGACAAAGATAAACTAAATGTTGTAACTACTGTATGCTACATTCCTTGCACAACCAATTTTCACCAAATATAGAATAATTACATTTTATTTACTATAAAAAGCAAATTTCTGTAATTTGCAGATTACAGGAAGAAGCTAATTAATGCAAATCCTTTAATATGTGCAGAGGAGTGTGAGGGAGGAATAGCATCAACAGCATATGTTCAGGATCCAGGAAATGTGCCTTCTTTGTTATAATTCTGTATTATATTTGCAGGGTCAGGTTCAGTAAAGATGTATGTGTACAGTACAATTGTCTAATCCACATTTTTCTAATGGTAGCTATCCTTTGGCCATTGTTTTTCATTTAACTGCAAACTGTACAGTAGTCCTGACCTAGAGTATACCAATTTATTTAAATAGGCTCAGCAACACATGTCAAGATTTAAGCCCATTTGGGAGATTGAATTTGCTTAATGATCACATGATTCGCTTAATGATGATTCACTTTATGATTGTCATGAAAACAGTCAAAATCAAGACAGGTCATATGGTGTCCTGCTTAATGATTGCAAGAACTGATGATGGAAATTCCAGACTCGGTTGTGGTCATTAAGTGAGACTGTCTGTATCTCATTGGCTGGAACAGCTGGGGATACTTGAAGGCAATGAAGAAAAGACTTTTGAGGGCTTGTCAAAATATGTGGCATGATGCAATTACTAAGGTTTATGCATTTGTTTCTGAAGCATATATGTGTAAGAGTGAGGTTTGGCTCTTAACATCATCACTGTGTGTGTTCAGAACACTTAATAATCACTGCAGTTTCTGAACAACCACTAGATGGCACCAGTGAAACTCAGAAAACTCTGCTGCCCTATAACAATGGTTTGGCTTTTTATAACCTATATCTCTGTAATGGCTAACCTTTTTGCCATTGTGTGCAAAAAGTGGTGGGAACGCAGGGGAGTCATGTGTGTGCATACTCACACCCATAATTGTCTGCACGACCCCCCATGCTCCCCCACTTTTGGCACGTGATGGCACGGTGAAGCCGTTTTTCACCCTCCCTAGGCTCCAGACTCTTTCTAAGAGCCTGGGGAGGGCGAAAAACATCTTCCCCACCCCACCCTGAGGCCCTCCAGAGGCAGAAAATGGCCCATTTGCCAACTTCCGGTTGGACCGGTAAGCCCATTTTTCACTCTCTCCAGGCTTCAGAGGCTTTGTATGAGCCTGGGGAGGGCGAAAACGGCCCAATGTGCAAACCGGGAGTTCGGGAACAAACTTCCAGGTTGTGTGTTGGATTGTTTTTCATCCCTTGGAGGCTTCAGGCAAGCCTCCTGAAGCCTCCAGAGGGTGAAAAACAGTCCAATGTGGAAACCAGAAGTCCGTTCCCAAACTTCCAGTTTGCGCATTGGGCCATTTTTTGCCCTCCAGAGGCTTCAGGGAAGCCTCCGAAGGGTGAAAAAACAGCTGAAAATCAGCTGGACAGCATGCACACATGCACACTGGAGGTAACAGGGGAATGCCTTGCATACCCTCAGAAATGGCTACGTGTGCCACCTGTGGCATGCGTGCCATAGGTTCGCCATCACAGCTATATCTGAAAACCCTATTTCAGAACCACTACGCTTTTCTATATCATAAATTAATTGCCACTATGATAATTTGCAGAGCAACAGCCAAATTAAACTCTTTTAGTAAAGGCAATAAGTCTTGAAGCATGTTAAAGTCTTTAATGTTTGTCAATGAAATTTCTTAAGCAATATTTTTGTTGTTATCCTAGCTGCTCTTTTTCTTCTAATCTTACTAGTGCAAAGATATTGCTTGCATTTATCTGATGACTGCATCACAGCCCCCTGAGAGAATTTGAAACCAGATGATGATACGTTCCTCCTCTTCTTTAACAGTAATTTATTAGCAACAATGCTTTCTGGCAGTGGTGGGATCCTGCTGGTTCAACAACTGTGATCATGTGCACTGATCATCAGAGTGAACTGGTTCACTCCCCAGCTGATCTTTGGAGTTACTGGTTCGCTCAAAACGGTCTCAACCGGCTGAATCCCAGGCCTGCCTTCTGGGTGGAAGAAATGGCCCATCAGCCTACTGAACGATGGCTTGCATCTCCCTGAACTGTCTGCATCCAGGCTGCTTCCCAGGGAAACAATCTGCAGCATTCAGAACTGAGGCCTGAGTAAACCAGTTTTGCTAAACCTGTCTTGCTTTTTAAATCTTTGCATGGCACCCACGAAGCATCAGGCAGACAATACTTAAATATAAACATCACTGGCAACATGAATTAAGCATAAATAAATAAAGGTAAAAGGGCAGTTTGACTTACACATCAATGAGCAACGGATACTTTTTTGACTGATCAAAATTAGGAGGCAATATCATCTGATACCAGTATGCTGAAAACGAGAAGAAAAATAGGAAAGCAAACAAAAACATAAAATATGTGTTAATAATTATAAAGAACATATGCAGTTAGCTTGAACGAGAAAAGGCAGGGTGAGGGACAAGGACTGGAAAAGTTCTACAGCAGGGGTGTCAAACTCCTGGCCCATGGGCTGGATGCATCATGAGCTGGTCATGCCCACCATTTTAGTGAAGTGGAGGGAGGGAAAGTCCCGATACATCATGTGATGCCACAGTGACATGAGTTTGACACCCCTGTTCTACAGGATCAAAAGCTTGCACTACAGTAATAGGAAAAGTCTTCCACCTGCAGACTTTTGCTAGATAAAATTGATTGCTACAATAACTGGTTATGGTGTTAATTACTATAAAAGGAAAGGCTTTATGAAATCTTGAATGTTTGAACATCACATCAACTAAAAATCCAGAGAACACATGACCACAAAACCATTCCAAAGCATATTTAATAGTCAAATTAACCTCTCGTATAGTCTTACATCAGAACCAGCAACTGTGAACATTAATTTCAACTCCCCCAGTGAACAAGTGTGGCTGCATCTTCATGGTGGAATAAGGTTGCTAACTCCATAGTAAGCATCACATTTGCACTTCAGAACCAGGAAGAATTAGGGAAGAGGCATTACGTCTTCATTTTCCAGAGGTTGTTGAAGCAAATTTAATAAGGCTGAACTTAGAAAGTGCTGAGGCTAATGAGAGATCCCAAAACAACAAAAAGCTACATTAGAAACCGAAGGAAGGCCAAAGAGATTGTAGATCTAGTGTTATGAAAAAATGAATTGGTAATGTAGAGAAGGCAGAGTTTTTAAAGTCCTGTGTTGCATTTTTCTTTTCTCAAAAAAGAAGAGGAACCTTAGTAGGTCATTGTTATACCACTGAGGGAACTGTGACTTAGGATAGACAAGGACAGAATAGCAGAGTTAATAACTCAGTTAATTTAAATGATTTCATATTTCCAGGGCCAGATAGATAATACCCCAAGGTACCGAAGGAGCATTAACTGAGATTATTGCAAAATTATTCTTGGTAATTTCTTCCAACCTCTGGAGGATTGGCAAAATCCCAGGAGATTGCAAATATAATCTCCACCTTCAAAAAGGAAAAGAAGGAGGATTCAAGAAACTACAGAGCTGTTGATGCCTATACTGGGCAAGCCCTTTGAACAGATGATCAAGCAGCATGTGTGTGATCCGGGGGTGAAATTCAGCAGGTTCTGGAGAACCAGTAGCAGAAATTTTGAGTAGTTCAGTCAACCAGCAAATACCACCTCTGGCTGCCCTTGCCCCCATCTATTCTCTGCCTCGTGAGACCCAGCTGATCGGAAGGAAATGGAGATTTTGCAGAATCTTTCCTCCAAAAGTGGGGAGGGAATGGGGATTTTGCAGAATCCTTCCCCTGCCACGCTCACCAAGCTATGCCCAGTCATTTAAAAAAATGAATTTCACCACTGGTCTGATCCCTGCAACAATTAACAAATGCCAGCATGAGCTTATTGAAAAACCAGTATCACAGTAACCTTATTTCTCACTTTGAAAAACTTATGAATAAAAATGGTTTACTTGAATCTCAGCAAATCTTCTGACCAAATGGCTCATAATATTCTCCTGGGCTACATGTTACTACTGTAGAGGAATTCACAATTGGCTGAGTGACTGCACTCAAAGTGCTCATTAATGGCTCCAGCTTAGGGGGAAGTACTAAATGGAGTGCCACTAGATTTTGTGTTATTCAACACTTTTATCTATCATTTGGATGAATTGGTGAGTTGAGAAGAAGATACTTAAAGATACTCAAATAATATGCAGATGGTAAAAATCTGGGAACAGTAGTTTAATATTTAAGTGGAGAAAAAAGAAGGTCCAAAAGATTCCAGCCACATTGGAGAGTGATATGTATGTATATAATGGAAAAGAAATAAAATGTAAAGAAATGTAAAGTTCTTCATTTGGATATAAATAAACCGTAAACCGTAAGTATAAGGTGGGAGCTGGTTTGGTACACTGTAAAATGATCTGAGTATCCTTGTTGACCTAAGCTAACAGTATGATGCAGATATGAAGAAGTAAATGCTTTATTGGGGTGCATTAACAAGAGCATAGAGTCAAGTTCATAGAAAGTAATTGTTCTAGTCCACTCTGCCTTAGTCAATATTTATGATAGTGTATCCAATTCAGAGAACCACAGTTTCAAAAAGGATCGTAACAAATTAGAGTAAGTTTAGTGAAGAGTGATCAAACTGGGAAAGCGTCTGGAAACTAAGTTATATTTAGAGGTGGGTATCACATAATTTTACCACCGGTTCACTGCGCACCAAAAATGTGAGCTTGCATGTGCCTTCTGTACATGCGGCGGCCTTCCACGCATGTGCTTTGCTCACGCACGTGGCTTAGAAAACATGACTAAATAGGATGGCATAAAGCCGGGGTGGGTGGGCTGGCCCAACCACAGGTCACCACTACCAGTTCATCTGAACCGGTCCGAACCGGCTGAATACCACCACTGGTTATATTGGAACAATGAAAGGATCTGGGTATGTTTACAGAAAAGATGACAATGGAGAAATATAATTAGACATTCAAATATATGAAGTGGGAATGAACTTATTCTCTTTTGTCCCAGAGGACAGGATCAGAACAAAGAGTTACAGAAGGTCAGAAAACTGAATCAGACTAGACATCATGAAAGATTTCCTGACAGTAGGAGCGGTCAGAGTGTCACAAGACATGGTTAGTTCTCCTTCGCTCGAGGGTCTTGTAATGGACTTGTATGATCATCTATCAGAGATACTGTAGTGGATCCTACATTGTGCAAGAAGGATCCATGGACTCTTCCAACTCTCAGATTCTATGATAACACATTAAATAATTATTTTTTCTGGACAACGAATGTGAAGGTTGAAATCTGTACACATTTCCATGCAAGGAAATGCTTTGATCTCCGTAACTTTCAGTGTTATACTCATTTATCATAGAAATCACCTGAAAGAATTGGCTGCAGAAAAGTAGAGTTATTCCATATTAATCAAGGTTAGCAAATAGCATAGAAGTTGTGGCAGCTGAATAAGGGGACTAGAATGCAAAATTACACCAGGTGCCACTCACTTACATCTATCAGGTAAGTGGAAAACTATATATAGGGAGTCCTTGACTTATGACCAGAACTGAGCCCAAAATTTCTGCTGCTAAGCAAGACAGTTGGTAAGTTAGCTTTGTTCCATATTACGACCACTCTTGTCACAGTTGTTAAATGAATGACTGCAATTGTTAAGTTAATAAGATGGCTGTTAAATGAATCTGGCTTCCCCAATGACTTTGCTTGTCAGAAAGTCACAAAAGGCCATCACATGATCCTGGGACACAGCAACCATCATAAATACATGCTGGGTTGCCAAGGGTCCAAATTTTGATCATATGATTATGAGGATGTTGCAATGGTCGTAAGCGTGAAAAACAGTTATAAGTCCCTTTTTTCAGTGCTGTTGTAACTTCAAAAGAATGGTTGATACTACCTGTATTTCCATTCATATAAAACATTGCAAAATTAGCCCAAAATAGGTGAGAAAAATTTCAAGTAGGTTTTCTCCAATTGCCAATTTCTCTTACAATCAGTTTGGTGTTGTATTATAACCTGGAAGGCATGGTGGAAAGAAAGAAGGAAGGAAAGAAAGAAATAAGGAAGGAAGGGAGAGGAAGGAAGGAAGAAGAAGAAGGAGGAAAAAAGAAAAAAGAAAGAAGAAAGAAAGAGGAAGGAAGGAAGGAAGGAGGAAGAAAGAGAGAAAGAAGGAAAAGGAAGGAAGGAAGAAGGAGGGAGGGAGAAAAAAGAAAGAAGAAAGAAAGAGGAAGGAAGGAAGGAAGGAGGAAGAAAGAGAGAAAGAAGGAAAAGGAAGGAAGGAAGAAGGAGGGAGGGAGAAAAAAGAAAGAAGAAAGAAAGAGGAAGGAAGGAAGGAAGGAGGAAGAAAGAGGAAGAAAGAAAGAAAAGAAGGAAGGAAGGAAAGAAGAAGGAAGAAAAAGAAAGGAAGAAAGAAAAAATAAGAAAAAAGAAAGAAAGAAAGAAAGAA